AATAACATTTTATTAACTGATGGTTTTAGGAATGAATTTTAGAGGTCTTTACTTCTTGTATTTGTTACAAGTTAACACAGGCTTACTCTGAACCTAGAATTCTGTTGAACAACTTGAGTGGCAGGGGTCCTTCCCTTCCCAGTTACTTAAAGGAGAAGAGAATGTCAGTTTCTCTAGATTTGGGACCATGCCACATGTCAGTGCTTAGCATGGTGTACTGCTGTTAGGAGGTCCTCAACAATTATGTGTTGCTTTGAGGTTATAAACTTAAGAAAAGAGTTCAGCAGTTGGAAATCAGTAACTTCTATAGCTCCAAATTGCCAGCTATGAAACTAGACAGTGTCTGCAGTGTCAGTGGCCACCTGAGGCATGACAGGAACCAGAAGAAAAGGAATAAAAGGACAATTGAAATCAGAATAATGATTGCTGGGAAAGGGGAATTGATAAGAGGCACAAGGGGACTTCCTGGGGTGATGGAAATAATGAAAATCTGTATATGATTCTCCAAGCTATAAAATGAAAAAAAAAAAAGTAACAGTAGGGCAAAGAAGTGAGAGAAAAGAGAAAGGTTAGAAAAGTTGAAAAAGTAGCAACAAAATAAAAGGAATGAGAAAATGAGAGAGAAAAGGATGGAGTGGCCTCAGGTTGTTCAGTGGCCCCCAAAGGTATGGTAAGCCATCATACTGACCTCAATCTATTCTCTTGAAATTTCACATCACCTTTTTCCAAAGTCAACATCACTAAGAACTTTAACAGTGATGCCTGAAACTTAATATTTTATTTCTCTTGTGCTGTATATTTTAGATTTTAGGGAAGCCTGTCAAAATTTTCTTTCTATTAAAACATTTTCTATAATCATTTAAATTTAAAAGTAAATAGCTTAGGTAAGTTTTCCCTGTATTAATTAATTAGCAACTGCAATTACCTTTGTCCATTCTTTTCATTTTTAACTTGGTTAGGCTTAAATTAGATTCCTTTTGAAAAACTTTAAGTTTTACATTTGGTTGCTTCATTATAATTTTAGTCATCATAATGTGGTAACCCTTAAAGATAACTTCAATTTTCTCTGCTTTTAAAATTCAAATAGGGGCCACATTTTTAAACCATATAGGTGCTAATATCTACATAATATATATATATATACTCTGCTAAAGTTGAATGCAAAGTAAAACTCCAAGTATTTAAACTTTTCTACTGATTTATACTAAGAATTCATAGATATAACCCTTTCTTTGGGATCCCCAAATATTGTACTTAGAGCAAAATAGAAAGAACAGCAGAAATTTAAGTCTCTGTGCATTAAAAAAAATTGGTTAAATGAAATTCCTTGATATAAACATTTTAAAAGAGCAGATGTCCTCACCTTCAGTTAATAATGCCTTCATAATCATTTGACCCTCAAAAGGAGAGAAGAAAATAAATCAAAGAATGGCTTAAACTACTGACATGAAAGAACTAACATTCAAGTAAATGTATAAAGTGCTTTCAACCACTTGTCTCAAAAAACACAAATAACCTATGAAGAAAAAGGTTATAGACATTACCAGTTTAAGATAAGAAGAGACATGGAGAAGTTTAAATTCACTATCTAATGAAACAGAAACCAGACTGCTCTCTAGTTTAGTCTATTTACTTTGGTACTAGATTCTGCTCAGCAGCAATTCTAGAGATCAACCCTCTAAATATTACTTACCTATTATGGGCATAACTCTGAAATAGATGTGAGAGAAGCCAGGGAGATAAATAAAGAAAAGTTCTTACACTAAAGTAAACTTACAATATACTTGGTTACCTAGGCTAATCACCCACAGCTGGAACACATGCTAGACTGGGACAGCTCTGGTAGTAAGGAGGATGAACGAGCAGGTACAACTTGCAGTTGAAAGCTCAGGAAAGCTCCCCACGGTAGATATGGCCAGTGGAACAGGACAGTGGTAACAAAAGCATGTAGGCAGAAAAGCACATGAGAAGTTCTGGGAACAGCTGGCCAAATCAGAAGATTGTAGAAAGCATGAGAGTAGCGGTGGGAGGAAAGGGCAGCCAGAGTGATTTGGCCATGCCTCGGAGTGAGCACTTCATCCCTGCAGGTGGGGAGCTTCGGCATTATAATTTAGACATGAAAGGAAGCTCAGTCACCAAATCCTTCATTTACAGAAACAAGGAAACAGAGCCTCTGAAAGGTTAAGCTGCTTGAAAAGAAATAAAAAATTGACAGATAGGGGTCAAGAACTAAGTTCCTGCTTCCAGGAAGGACAGGATCAGACATACGACTCAGGAAAATTATTTCACCAGTGATGTGCAGCATAGACTAGAGAGAAAAGAAACTGTGTGGAGTATAGCTGAGGAGTGAAAACAAACTGGATGTGGTAGAATTTAGAATTCTTCTATTACTAAGATGCTATAGTAATGTGTTAAGAATTTGACTCAAATGTAATGTTAATTTTGCTGTAAGAAATTCACTATCTTGCTATATAGATTTTACTGAAGGAGAGAGAGAGAAAAAGAAAAACGAGTTTTCCTGCCAGTGACATCAATAACATATATTGCCACCTGGGCCAGGTAACTGTTCATGGGGAATGGTGAATCATTAACATGAATGTCACAACTAATTTCAACAACTATGACCGGGAAAAGCAGTTTTAAAAGAAAGTAAACTTCACTGAGTTTCGAGGTGTTTAAATGTCATTTCTTTCACAACAACGAAGAGTCTATGATTTCTCTAAGAGAGCACACATTCCGTTCTGTTACCTACATACTGGTGTAAGCTTATACACACTGCTGTGGAAAAACAGCTGAAGTAGGTGACCATAAAACGGATGAGGCTGATTTATGTGGAAAGCAACCTCGATACTTTATGGTCATATCTTGTAATAATCACTAGCAGGACCACTCAAGAAATGCCATACTGCATCCATACGAGCATTATACCTAAAAATAAAAGAGCATTCTTGTCCTTTCTGATGATTACCTCTAAAAGTTTCTGCTGGAGCCCTATTTTCCTGTAATACACTGTCTGGATCAATCATCCAAGAAATTGCCTTAACATTTTCTGTATCTGTATTTTCTAATGGCACTTGCATTGTACCTTTTATACACTGCTATTATTTTACATGCCTATTATTTCAATTTTTGCTGAGTTTAAACTGTTTATCTATGTCTTACCATCTAGCTTAATGGCACAATTTAAAATTATTACACTTTGAAGCATTATTTTCAATTGAAAGAAAGTTAACGTATCTATAATACTGGTCTAAGTTTAAGGGAATTTCAATAACGACTTTTTAAAAAAGTCACTTTTGTCCTCTTTGTTAAGCAGCACATTTTCATTACTAAAGTTTTATGAGGACACAGACTGTGACAATGTACCCCTCCACAATCCCTATACCACATAAGTGCTCAAAATGCCTGCTCACATAATGAAACAGCAGGCCAATTCTGGATGCAGCTGTGCAAAGATCACCAGGGCTGACCCGGGCCTATCAGGTGCTTAGGCAACCTACTGTGCAGACTGGCCCTTCTCTGCTGGCCCCTTACAAGTTAATATTCTCCAGGCTCCAACCACAGACATTCTCTTCACACTCCAAGCCCTGCACCTGAGCAGACTTCCATTTCTGTGGACTCATGTCTTATTACATGTGTGGATGACACCAAGTAGTTAGTTGTCTTTGACTTTGGCTTCCCTCCTAAGCTATGAATTTTATCCCTTCCTGCCTGTTAGATATTTCCATTCCCTGATTACACCTCAACACAAGCCTCAAACTGAAGCCACCATGATCTACTCCTGAAAACTACTCCTTTTCAGGTGCTGCCTATTTTAGTAAACAGCTCCACCCAACTGCCTAACAGTGAAACCCAGGCATACTTCATTTCTAACCTTAATCAAATCCAAACTGATTCCCAGTGAGGCTGCCACCAACAATGTATCTATTCCCAGTGAGGCTACCACCAACAATGTATCTCCAATCTATCTGCTTCTCTCCTCACCTACTTGAGACCACACGTGAGGCACCATCATAACTTAACAGGAGTACTCCTAACTGGTGACTTTGCCTCCAAACTAGCTCTCCTCCTATCTACTGTGCAGCCATAATGCGCTTTTCAAAATGTGAATATGTTTAAAAATGCTTAAATATCTTCCTATGGTACTTAGGAAAACATGTAAACTCCTTGTCATGGCTTAAAACATCCTTTAAGAATTGCAAACTACCTTGTACATTACACCAAAACATGGCAACAAGGATAAGCTCAGGGGGTCTGTGGGGGCCTGACCTGTCACTTACTAGCTCTCTCAGTCAAATTACTTGATCACTCTGTCCCTCAGCATCCTCATCTGTAAAATGGAAATATGTGGGTGTGAATGTTAAATGAGAGAAAGTACAACCCTTGACACAGTATCTGAAACATCGACACATAGTAAATGTTAGTACTGTACATAGTAAATACTACCTACTGTTACTATCTCTCTAGTTAATTTCTCCCTTCTCTCCCATTTGTAATCTGAGTTCCATCCATAAAGCACATCTTTCATTTCCTCTTTTCACACACTTCTTCCTTTACATATTCAGTCCCTCTGGCTGCAACACCTTTCACAATTCTTCAGATCTATCCTAAATGCCATTATCTTCTGGAAAGTCCTTCTGGCCTCTCCAGTCTCCTGTTAGGTGCCCTCACTACTTGCTCCTCAAGGCTTTGTACTTTCCCTGCCATACACTTGTCCACTTTCTACTACTTTCCTTTCATGGCTACACTAAGTTCTGTGTGAAGAGCAACTATTCCCAATGCCTAGCACATAGCCTAGCAGGCGGTACGCTTTTAATAAAAATTGTCCTATGTATGAACGAATGTATGTTTTCTTTCTAACAATCCCCCTGTGCTCCCCCCAAAAACCGCAGTTGGTAGAATAGCACACCCCTCCCATAACAGCTATCTGTATAATATGGTTCGGTAAAGGCTGCCACAGAACAAACATGGTCCGCTCATTCTGGGAAGGGCAAGTTAAAACAAAGTTAGGGCTTCTGAACCATGGCAATTCTATCTTTTTGATACAAAAGTGCGTTGTGAATCTCCAAGTTGTGTGTGTGTTGGCGGGGGAACACGGCGTGTTCAGCAGAACACGTCGTGGCAAAGTAGGCTGAAGGAGGTACCCTCCTCTACTAGAACTTTCAAATAAGCTGGTAGTTGTGGACTGGAAGTCTCTGAAGCACTTACTGCACAAGGTTCACTGTTTTTAGGTCGGCACCCACTGGACACACAATCTGCGAGCTGGAAGGAACCGTACGCATATATCAACAAATCTTCTTTTGCACATGCAGAAACTGAGGCCCAGAAGGGCAAAGCGACCGGTCCAGGGCCACACAGCACACACATACAACAGGAAGAGAGAGAACCCAAGACGTCCATTTCGGCCTTGCGGCTTTCACCGCAAACAATGCCTCTGCTTGCTTGGGTTCGCCAAGTGTTGCCACTTCAAATTTTAGTTCAAGCCATACCAAAGTTAAGGTCAGGTTTGTTCAGCCAACCGCCTCCTAGGCCTACAGTTACTAGTCCGTCTCCACCCAACCCCCCCCCATACTTACCCTGTAATCCATCCAGCGGAGTGGGAGCCGATGGGGCGGGGGAGGAGATTCTTTCTTTCTAAGCTTAATTTTGAACTGTAAACGTTTGCATGTAAACCAAACGAACCTGTTAATTTTAACGCCTGCACCTAAACCCCTTCGGCGCTACTCCTTACCCCAGAGCACCCCAACCTCCCCTACCCACCTCCCTCGCCCAGACCCAGGGGCCCTGCAGTTGTTCTTTACCTGGGACTGCCATGGCCCTGGTAAGTCGGACTCCTAGGCTTCCGAGAACGCGCTGGCTTCCCGCTGGCCGCGACGACCAACACAGCGAGCGCGGCCTCTTTCTCCCACCCGTGCTGGGGAGCCTTCGTGACAGTCGCGGGAGGCCCTGAAAGCCTATCGCACGGCGGAACCAAGTAGCTGCTGCTGCAGTTTCCAGGGGAATCCTATTGTAGACCATACGCGGGCCAAACCATTGCTGCCAGCTTCGGGGGGGGGTAATGAAACCTGCACACGCGTGTAGTAAAGTAAACACCACCAAGACTTACGAACGGTTACTTTGCAAATTGTAATGCAAATTAAATTAATCTATAGGGGCTTCATAATCTTTTCTCGATTCCCTGGAGGCCACTGGAGTCCCCCCTTGTCAGGGATAGCGGTGCTCGGGGCCGGGAGCAACATGGCGGCGTCCGTGAGGGGCGAGCTTTGAAAGGATGGTGTTTGGTGTCGCTGCCTTGCGGGGTGTTGACAGGCTGGAGCTTTCAAAACGCGACCTCCCGATTTTAGGAAGCGTGTACCGATAGGTGGACAAGTTTAGTGATCGGCCGTCCGCTCTTATCCCCAGTTAGGAGCTGAGACCCGAGCACGGACCAGTATGAGCAACATTTACATCCAGGAGCCTCCCACGAACGGGAAGGTGAGAGCCTCATTCAGGGTACCTGGGTTCTCCAAAGTGATACCTCACAGATTAAGGGAGTTCTGGGGTTTGGAAGAGATGACAAGAAGTCTTATCTTTACCCTTGCCTCTAAACAGCCTGCGGCGAAAACCACCTATTGGCGCTTCTCAGCATATAATTGAAAAAGCCCTCAAATGGAGATTTCTCCATCTACCAAACTTCTAGCCCCATTTCTTGCTTCAACCTAACTCTGCATGTGTTTTCTAGGGTTGTAGGTAAAAAGCCAAATACATTTTAAAAATTGATATTTGTTTGTTTAACTTGGAGATGGCTCTTTTTCCTTCCATTCGTTCTACAGTCCTTTAATTAGTGCTTACTAGGCCCCAGGTGCGTAGATGCTGGGGCTACAAAGATGGACGGATGAGGTCTAGTTGTTGCTCTAGAAGAGCTTACAGTTTAGTTTGGGAGGCAGGCAGGTAAAGAAAAACCTTATGATATGTTTGATAGGAGTGCATATGGAGAGAGGAGCATAAGGCTATGGTAGAACTAAGAGGTTAGCAATTGGGAAAGTAGGGGAAAGCTTCATGGAGGAAGTGTCTTTTGAGCTGGTCTTAAAACATGAGATGATTGTGAGAGAAAGTGGAGATTGAGAAGTGTTCCCACATTAGAATGAGGGAATGATTTTTTGATGGATTTTGATGGTCAGAGTATCTTAATTCCCGAAGTGTTTATGTGCAGTATGAGGCAGAGTCGATAATGGAATAAGTGTCACCTGATAAACTGAGACCTAGTCTATATCACATACAGAATGTGATGACCAGCATAATGGAGAAAATAGTGGGACTGAAAGTATATAGGTGAATTAGGATAAACTAAATTTGCATCAGGTACAATTCTGTTGCATGACTATGTCATAAATTGTAATCTTGGTGATTTACATTTGGTAATATAGCTCAAGTGGTAGAGCACATGCTTAGCATACACTAGGTCCTGGGTTCAATCCCCAGTCCCTCCTCTAAAAATAAAGAAGTAAACCTAACTGCCCCAACCCCAAACAAAAACAAAAATGCTGTAATTGATGTGCCCAGCAAAAGTCCGGTAGGTATTTTGGGCAGAGCAATTCTTTCCGTTTTTTGTTGTCGGAACTACCCCCACTTCTCAGCCCTACTCACCCATCACTGTAAAAACCCAGAATATCTATGTCTTCATATATCCCAGTACTTTTTGAAAGTGATATCACCTCCAGTTGATAAACACTGGTAGAGACTGAATACATTGCCCATCTTGCTAGGTGGGGCCTTCACACTTGCTGTTCCCTTCTCTAGCCTGCTCGTTATTCTGCTCAGATGTTGTTTTAAGAAAGAGGCCTTTCCTGTCAACTTCCTATAAAATAGAAAACCTCATTCATGCCCTACATCCCAGCGTTCCCTGGCCCCCATAACCTCTTTAGTTTTTTCTGCAGTACTTAGTATTTATTGTTGTAGTCTCCTCCACCCTTTCTCCCTTCACAGAATGCAGACAGAGACAGGCATGTACAAGGGTGCTCGACACATAGGAGGAGGAGTTTAAGTATGTACTGAGTGAATGGATGGATGAATAAATTAATAATGTATTTCTCTTAACTTCTGAGAAGTATTAAGCATCAGTGAGCTTGAGGTTATATTGCTACTGGTCGAGGGCAGACTTAGTTGTTTTACTCTGGTGGAAGATTCGATATAGTCATAAAGATGAGAAAGCTTCAACAGGGATTCATGCCTAAATAGGAGACCTTTCATTCAACAAGTATTTATTGAGCACCTAGCACATGCCAGGCTCTATGCTAAGTTTTAGGCATACAGTGGAAAGAAAAACCAGCACTGCCTCTATTATCACAGAGTCACTTAAGAGAAATATATATTGGTGAAATAATCATGCAAATAAGTTTATGCAAACTGTGATAAGTATTGTCCTCCTGAACAGAATTGGGCTGAGGGAGAATATTAGGCATGGCCCAAGTTCTCCTTCAGAAACAGTTTGGGACTTTTTCCAGCATAAGGCTGAATGAAGACATTGAAGCTTCAGCGTTTTGTACTGTGGAGAGCTTGGTAAGAATTTTGGCCTGGAAGGAATTTAAAGCAGATGTAATAACAAGTTTGCTTAATGAATGTTCATTTAGTGCCTATATTGCCTAATGCTGCATTAGGTACTGAAAGGATTCAGGCTATTCAGAATAAAGGGGACAAAATTTCTCTCATCAAAGAGCATAGTATCAACTGGGGAAGTAATTGACACATTATAGCAGTGGTTGATCCCTGGCAACTGTCCATAAATGTGCAGTGTTTTGCTGTGTTGTGCTATAACTCTGGCCTCTGCAGACAAGTCACAGAAATATACCACTTGATAGAAATTTCCTCATTTTATGATGATTTAATCTAAATTGTATATTAACTCAAATATTTGTTCTTAAGAAACATTTTATTATCAAAGTGTCGCCTTATTTAAGCTTTAAGAAGAGAAATCACTGATGCCTGGCAAAGTGGTTATGGCCACTAGGAATGTATGGCCAGTGGAGGAGCCACGTGCCTTCTGTTAAATTCAGGATCTTATTAGTGAAAAGATTAAGAAACCCTGGTGAGCAAGGTGGCCCTACCATATATGTGTTCTTTTTACCGAGTGTAAGTTTCCTGTGGCCTAAAAATTGTATAAGAACATTAATTACAACAATAATAGCTACCATATTTTGAGTATTAACTATTTGTCAGGTACTATTCTAAGTAATCTATGTGTAATAACTCATTTTGTCCTCACAACAAGCCTATGAGAATATTATTATCCTGGTTTTTAAAACAATTTATTGAAGTATATGTGACATACAATATTATATTCGTTTCATGTGTACAACATAGTGATTTGACATTTGTATACCTTGTGAAATGGTCACCACAGTAAATTTAGTTACCATCTGTCAGCGTATAAAGTTAATACAATATTAATGATTGTATTTCCCAAGCTGTGCATTTCATCTCCATGACTTATTTATTTTATAAATGCAAGTTTGTATTTCTTGATCCTCTTTACCCATTCCACCCTCCAGCCCCATCCCAACCCCTTCTTGCCTCTGGCAACCACAAGTCTGTTCTCTGTATCTAAGAGTCTGGATTTTGCTTTGTTTTGTTTGTTTTGTTTTTTAGAGTCCACATGTAAGTGAATCGTTCTGTATTTGACTTTCTCTGTTTGACTTATTTCACTTTCGCTTAATACCCTCAAGCTCCATAAATATTGTGGCACGTATTGGCACATTGTGGCAATATTCCTTTGTTTTTTTTTATAACTGAGTAGTATTCTAGTGTGTGTGTGTGTATGTATATATACATAGTATGTCTTCTTTATATACATCCGTTATTGGACATTTGGATTGTTTTTGTATGTTGGCTATTGTAAATAATACTACATGAAAATAGGGTATATATATCTTTTCCAGTTAGTGTTTTCATTTCCTTCAGATAAATACCCTAAAGTGGAATTGCTGGGTATTATGGTGGTTCTGTTTTTAATTTTTTGAAGAACCTCCACACTATTTTCCATACTGGCTGCACCAATCTATATTTCCGCCAGCGGTACACAGGGGTTCCCTTTTTTCCACATCCTTACCAACACTTGTTTCTTGTCTTTTTAATAATGGCCATTCTGATGGATGTGAGGTGGTATCTCATTGTGATTTTGTTTTGTTTTGCCTTTTCCTGATGATTAGTGATGTTGAGCATTTTTTCATGTGCCTGTTGGTCATCTGTACATCTTTGGAAGAATGTCTTAAGGTTCATGTCCATTTTTTAATCAGATTGTTTTTATGTTATTGAGTTGTATAAGTTCTTTATGTATTTTGGATATGAACTCTTTTTTAAATAACTTCTATTTTTTTTATTGAGTTCTAGTCAGTTTACAATGTTATGTTGGATATTAACTCTTGATTCAATATATAATTGGCAAATGTCTTCTCCCATTCAGTGCATTCTCTTTTCATTTTGTTCATGGTTTCCTTTGCCATACAGAAGCCTTTTATTTTGATGTAGTCCCATTTGTTTATTTTTCCTTTTGTTAACTTTGGCTTTGGAGTCAGATTAAAAAATAAATTGTTAAGACCAGTGTCAAGGAGATTACTGCCTATGTTTTCTTCTAGAACTTTTATGGTTTCAGGTCTTACATTCAAGTCTGTAATCCATTTTGAGTTTATTTTTATGAGTGTAAGATAGTTTCATTCTTTTACATGCAGCTGTTCAGTTTTCTCAGCACTGTTTATCGAAAAGTCTGTTGTATCCTCACTGTGTATTGTTGCCCCCTTTGTTGTAAATTAGTCGATAATGTATGTGTAGGTTTATTTCTGGGCTCTCTATTCTGTTTCTCTTGATCTATACCGTGCTGTTTTGATTACTCTAGCTTTGTAGTTTAATTTGAGATGAGGGCATGTGATACCTTTAGCTTTGTTCTTCTTTCTCAAGATTGCTTTGGCCATTTGGGATCTTTTGTGGTTTTATACATATTTTGGAATTGTTCTAGTTCTGTGAAAGATACCATTGGAATTTTGATAGGGAGTACATTGACTCTATAGATTGTTTTGGATAGTATGGACATTTTAACAATATTAATTCTTTCCAGCCATGAGCACAGACTATCTTTCCACTTATTTTGTACCTTTCTTCAGTGTTTTCATCAATGTCTTGTAGTTTCCAGGATACAGATCTTTTGCTTCCTGGGTTAAATTTATTCCTAGGTGTTTTTTGTTTTTTGTTTTTTTGGGTGTTTTTGGTGTACTTGTAAATGGGATTGCTTTCTTGATTTCTATTTCTGATAGTTATTAATGTATAGAAATGCTATAGATTTTTGTGTATTAATTTTGTATACTGCAACTTTACTGAATTCATTTATTAGTTCTAACAATTTTTTTGCTGAAGTCTTTAGGGTTTTCTGTATAGTATTATGTCAACTGCAGATAGTGACAGTTTTACTTCTTCCTATCCAATTTGGATGCTTTTTATTTCTTCGT